CCTGCCTCCCTCTCTCCCCCCCGCTCGGAAAGCCACCCTGCCGAGGCGCCTATTTCCCGCAGTCTCCATAACCTCGGCAGAGGTTTCTGTCCGACTGCAAAGGTTTCAGGCGCAAAAGATGGAGGAGAGAGTTGAGCGGTGAGAGCGAGGAGTCTAGTGGCCGCCGCTGCGCTCGGAAACCTAGACCTGCGCTATTCCTCCCGCCTTCTGCTCCGGCCGCCGTTACCCTGCCTCTCTTTCCTGCTCCTCTCCCGCCTTCCTTCCCGCCCTGGCTCCTCTCAGCAGACACGCAAACACAGCATCGCCACCAGAGCAGCCAGAACCGCCACCGCGCGGTGGGCATTCCCTCAGCAGCGCCTCGGACGCCAATCCTGCCTTAACCCCGCCCAGGCAGATTCGGGCGGGCTGGCCCCTCGCGTCGCTCGCCCGACCGCCCGCGACCCGCCCGCGCAGGCCGGGGAGGACTCGCTGCCCCCCGAGGAGGGCTGGTTCGCACGTGGGAGAACCCCTGCTGCTGACGTGACACGTGTGGACGGACTCCACTGAAACAGGCTGCCTGCATTCACACAGCATGTTCAGCCCACTCAGCTGAGTGCTGGGTTGGCCCAGCATTGACCCGGAGTGACACATTATGGCATCTTAGCTTGCTGTGCCAATCCAGCTGTTTGGTTAGCTTAGGGTTCCATAACTTGTAGGGACGGGAGGGCTTGGTCAGTCACCGGTTAAGCTCCTTGTAGACTGTAGGCTGCTGTTAGGTTTGAAGCGGGAAGGGCGGATGGAGGGTTCATTCAGACTTGCAAGCCCTTGCTTGAACACCAAAGCAGAGCCTGTGGGAGCTGTCCAGCAGTCTTTCTCAATCTTGGGCCACGGGGTGGGCTGGATTACAATTCCCGTCCTCCCTTCATTTCATACTAGCTAACATGAGGAGCAGAAGCAAATTCTGCTGCAGAGACAGGTGTATTCTTTTCACATGCTTGCAGGCCGCAACACGTATGCGGGAGTGTCCACAGTATGGTCAAGAAAGATAAGATGACAGCTGTGACGATGTGATCAAAGGTCTGTGCAGCACACACACACGCACACACACACACATATAAGGGCTGAGCTTCAATCACACATTTTCAGCCACCATCTTGACTTTTTTGGCCATAGACTGCAGACACCCCTGGATGCCAGGATACAGTTTTCACTCATGCTACAATGATACAGTGTATGTTAAAGGATTGGAATGAGCCAAAGAAACCAACAGGGATGTAATGCAGTGTTGTGTGAACTATGAACCAGAATGTCCCTGATTCAAACTTCACCTCAACTTGTTGTTGTTCAGTCCTTAAGTCGTGTCCGATTCTTCATGACCCCACGAACCATCTCGCGCCAGGCCTTCCTGTCCTTCACTGCCTCCCGGAGTTTGCTCAGTTTCATGCTCATTGCTCCAGTGATGCTATCTAGCCATCTCATCCTCTGCCGTCCTCTTCTCCTTTTGCCTTCCATCTTTCCCAGCCTCAGGGCCTTTTCCAAAGAACCCTCTTTTCCCATTAGGTGACCAAAGTATCTGAGCTTGAGTTGATTCACCTCAACTATGAATACATTAATCAAGATACTACGATTCTGGAGTAATACAAGTTCATTTCAGGACTCTTATAATTTGCATAGAGCATGTTATAAAAATCCCTAGTCTTATTCACAACTCCCACTAGTAGCTCTCTCTGTTTCAATACCCCTGCAAAATTTCAGCCTGGATGGAATGCCTCTCAGCCTACGCATACCCTTGTCTGAGATGGGCGGGCATAGAAATTGAATAAAATAAATAAATAAATAAATAAATAAAATACACCTTCCTTTTGTGAAATAAATCAGCTGCTCTTAAAAGTTAAGTGGAGGAAAATTAGTGGTTTCCTAATTCAGGAAACCCTACATAAATTCAAATAGGGATCCGTCTGTATGGTTCAGCATACTCAGCTGGTGTGAGAACATAAAATGTAAGAAGAGCCCACTGGATCAGGCCAATGGCCCATTTAGTCCAACACATTCTGTCATACGGTGGCCAATCAGAAGTTCACAAATATGGACAAGATGCCTCTTGGCCCCTTTCACTGTTATTCCTTAGCAGCTGCTATTTAAAGAGTTATTTCTGTAGTTCAGGAGGGAGAAAGCAACCATCAAAACTAATGCATACACACACACACACACACAAACATATATATAATTAGGATTATATAGTTCCGGGTGACATCCGAGCTGGCATGAGTCTATGCAAATTATAAGAGTCCTGAAATGAACTTGTATTACTCCAGAATCGTAGTATCTTGATTAATATATTCATAGTTGAGGTGAAGTTTGAATCAGGGACATTCTGGTTCATAGTTTTT